TATGATGATGAAACATTGATGTGCAAAACTGAAAAAAAAAAATTAAAAATAAAAAAACTTATAATATTTTCAGTTTTAAAACTGAAAAAAAAAAACTAATAATGTTTTCAGTTTTATTAGATAGTTGAATCAAACCAATAAGTAGAAGGGCAAAAACATTTAATCTCATACTCTGTTTTTTCTCATCAGTTAGTGAAACAATTATTTAGAACATTACTATGCAAAATTGATAATATTCTTAATTTTAAAAATTAAAAAAAAACTGATAATATTCTCAATTTTACTAAATAGAATTTATTGGTTCAAAAAATCTTAAATATAACCTAAATGGCCATAACATTTATAAATAATTAACTCATATTTATTAACAAGTTGGTCATCTAATTTGAAGAAAGACCCAACATCTAGAGTTAGTATTGAATATAAAAGTAATATCGTGTAATTATATAGATATTAAATTTTACATCATGATAGTAAGGCTATGTTTAGCATGTTTTTTTTTTGGGAGTTATTTTAGTCATAATAAGACAAAATAAGTTAAAAAGTTAATAAGACAAAATATCACATGCAAACTATAATTATTTTATTTTTTCTCTCATAAAAGTCAAAAACCAAAAAGCCCTCATTTGGCAAGTGGTGATTTTAACCAAAAGCTAAAAAGTAAATAAAAAAAAAATCAAAAAGTCAACAACCTATACCAAAAAGTCAAAGATTATATTTTCTCTTTACTTTTTGCACATATTTTTGTAAAAAAAAAAATTAAAAGTCATCCCAAACATATTAATTTTTTTTACATCATATTTTAGCTAGAAAATCAAAGAGTTACTAAAAAAGTTTGTTCTTAAACGAGGACTTTTAGCCCCAGACTAAAAAAGTTAAAAAAACTAAAAAGCTAATCCACATTCCAAACAAAGGTTAGAGCATCTCCAATGGTTCATCAGATTTTTCATCAAATCTGAGAAAAAAAAAATGATTTTCTTTATTTGATATCACCTACTCCAACGGAGAAATTTAGCTTTTCATCAAACCACCGGACGACCGGCCAATGCAAAAAATGAAAAATTGAGAAAACAAAGAGGTGGACCTCCTAGTGTAAAATTTTCACAAAATTTTGTTTAAGGTGATCATCCGGGAGGACGTCCGGTGGGACCCACCTCCAACGTAAACGCATAGTGTTTTGGTAAAATCCACCCAGCTCCTTAATTTGGTGAAATTTTTGGGCAATTTTCATTTTGATATCAATTTGATGAAATTGTTAGAGCCAAAAAAATTATTTTTTTTTACTAAATTTAAATTTGATGATGATTTTGCTTAACCATTGGAGATGGTGTCAAGAATTATATAAATGAAATAATAAGAGATAAGTGTCAATGTAATTTTCTTGACTAATATGATAAGTGTTAAGCATGTATCTATTCAAGACGTGTGATGCACGCCAAAGAAGCTATAATTAAAAAAGTATCTAAGAGGTTTCATATTCTCATTTGTAACAAATTCATTGACCTGAAGTCAACGGAAATCAAAGATGAAAAATTGCCTAGACGCTATGTCTTTTCTTGGTGGTAGCACAAGGGTTTTATTTATTTATTTTTGACTTTAAAGTTGTCGCTCTTCATTGGCAACTTCTCATAAGGACGGCTCAATAAAAGTAAGTTTAGGCGTATACAAAGGGGTACAAAATTCAATATTCTTCATTTTGCAGTGACTTGTAAGCCGACCACTGAAAAAAAAAAAAAAAGGAAAAAAGTCACAAATATAAAGACTACCAAAGCATGTTTGGTATGAAAGAGAAGTTCATTAGTGCATTAATTGAAAAATCTTAAATATATAAAATTTGATAACAGAATCATATACAACCAACCCTCTTACATAGATTTGAGTTTAGACAACTTTTCTTAATTTTTTTGTGTTGTTGGATACTGACATGGATAGGTAAACAAGTTTTCCAAACAAATCTCTCTCTCACACATATCAAATCAATCACTTTTTCCAAAACTCTATCTCAAAATAATTTTCCAAAACATCTTTTAAAAAAAACCAAACCAAACATGTTTTCGTACTTTTTATCTCTAAAACACATCTCTCAAACACAAACCAAACATACCCTATGTCTTTTCTTGGTGATAGCACAAGTGTTTTATTTATTTATTTTTGACTCTAAAGTTGTCGCTCTTCATTGGCAACTTCTCATAAGGACGGCTCAATACAAGTAAGTATAGGCGTATACAAGGGGGGACAAAATTCAATATTCTTCATTTTGCAGTGACTTGTAAGCCGACCACTGAAAAAAAAAGAAAGAAAAAAAGTCACAAATATAAAGACTACCAGAGCATGTTTGGTATGAAAGAGAAGTTCATTAGTGCATTTATTGAAAAATCTTAAATATATAAAATTTGATAACAGAATCATATACAACCAACCCTCTTACATAGATTTGAGTTTAGACAACTTTTCTTAATTTTTTTGTGTTGTTGGATACATTGCATTAGCAACTTCTCACAACAATAGGTATTCTGAAAAAAAAAAATAATAATAAAATAAAAAATAATTTCTCACAACAATAACAGTCAATTATTTATTTATTTGACCAATAAGGCGTGTAACGCCTTCTCATGTCATTGTTTAGTATTATGAGACGAATACATCAAACTTCTTATCTGTGTTTTAAAAGCTAATACATCAAGTTTATGCTGGAATTTTAAATTTATATAAAAAAAATTATGAAAAGAAATGAAAAGAGAAGAAAAAAATAATGATGTAGAAGCTAAGTTTTTAAAAAGTAAATGAATCTACAAATTCAATATTCAAACATAATTAAAATGAATTTAGAAATGTAACATTAGGAGTCCACTTCAATATGGTTCAAAGGACTAAGATTTCATGGAATTTTTTCTTAATTATTATTTTTTTCAAATAGTAAAATGATAGTAGGTTAGTACTTAGTTAAGTTGGATTACCACAATAGACCAATGCCACTTACTTTAATATTTTTTTCATATGTGATTATAGTAGTTTTTTTCTTTTAATAAATTTTTTTCTTTTGAATACTTTTTTTTTTTTTTTTTTTTTGAGTCAAGAATCTACATATTGAGATACATCATTACGTTGGATTAGAAAAGGAGTCAAGAATACAATTTTCAAAGAACAAGCACATAGTGGGAAGAAAAACTGGGGCAACAAGTCTTCCGTTTGGGAAGAGGAAAGAAAGGGAAAATGAATAGACAAGAGAAAGGAAAAAAGGAATTAAACATGATGAGATCTATTTTTGATTAAAATAATATGAATAAGAGCAATTGAGAATATATTTAGGATGAATCTCATTATCTTGATATGTATATTTTAAATAAATATTTTTTTTTTTGTGATTTAATTTAATATACATAGACTCAGTCTATTAAAAGGTAAATTGATATTTTGTCTTTTAATTTGTTGTTTCTTTTTGTTTCTTTTTTTCTTTTTTCCTTTTTTTTTTTTGGTTTTTGTTTTTTGTTTTTATATTATTGCAAAGATTTGAATACGTGAGTTATGCCTTGAGAATATTTTTAGGATGAATCTCATTATCTTGATATGTATATTTTAAATATTTTTTTTTTTGTGATTTAATTTAATATACATAGACTCAGTCTATTAAAAGGTAAATTGATATTTTGTCTTTTAATTTGTTGTTTCTTTTTGTTTCTTTTTTCCTTTTGTTTTTTTTTTTGGTTTTTGTTTTTAGTTTTTATATTATTGCTAAGATTTGAATACGTGAGTTATGCCAAAATTCATGAGGTCATGCTAACGTGGGAAATTGGGGAATTGGTCATTCAATTTTAGGAAGGACTTGACTAAAAATAAATAAATAAAAGAAAATTTGAGGGCTAAGACTTCAAATGTTAAAAAGAACTCATAATTAATCTTGGGAAGACACAAGATGCCACTGATTAGAAAGAAAATGACCATGAAAAGTGGGAATGATAAATTTTATAATAAAAAATGTAGAGGGGAAGAAAGAAAGTTTTGTTTTGTTTTTTCATTTTGAAAACGACTGAAAATTTTAATTTTATAGTTTTCACTACAACATTTCTTAGTTCAGTGACACTTGAAAGTGTCACGAAACAATTCTTTTAGTGACATTTTTTAATTTTGTGACATTTTAAACAAATTCCATTTATATCGATGCCATGGTAGATACTAGTGGCACTTGTAAGTGCCACTACACCATGAAGACTAAAACCTTTTAGTGACACTTTAATGTTATCGTAGACACTATTCATGACACTACCAAACGCCATTAAAGAAGACTTACAATTTAAAAAATGCCACTATATACTTTTTTAATGGCTCTTCTTATGCCATAGTTAATATTTTTAACAGATCCAACTTTTAGTGATAGATCAAAGTGGCAGTGCTTCACCATTCATTTGTGCCATAAATGGAGATAAATTGAAAAACAAAACAAAAATAAATAAATAATTCTTTTACAACATTCACTCCGTTGATATTTTGGTTTGTAAGATAAACAAATAAAATTTCATTCATTAAATGTAATTACAATTGACACAAATATAGCAATATTATTCTTTACTAATAAAATAAAATCAAAACATTGTTCCTACTTTAACAAAGTCAATATCATTATGATAATATCATAAACAAAAACTAAACAAATAAATATTTACATATCCGAAAAAAAGGTAATCTTCATATCTATGAAAAGCGTGTATCGCTATAGTACTTCAATAATATTTCTGGAAGTCAATGTTCAAATCGAGTTCTTATAAGTTCCTTGTAATTGCTAGAATTGGCCTCATAGAATTGTCTATACAAATTAGAATGGAGTCTCATAAATATACTCTTCAAATGCTTTGATGATGACGCATTGCAATGCAAGCAAAAATCCACAAGTAAGAAAAAAAAATACTCTCTAAAAAGCGAAATTAAAAACAAATAGAAAGAACTCAACATATCACAAGTAAATCCCTTCTATTGAATTCATAGTAATCATTAAATGTAATTACAATTGACACAAATATAGCAATATTATTCTTTACTAATAAAATAAAATCAAAACATTGTTCCTACTTTAACAAAGTCAATATCATTATGATAATATCAGAAACAAAAATTAAACAAATAAATATTTACATATCCGAAAAAAAGGTAATCTTCATATCTATGAAAAGCGTGTACCGCTATAGTACTTCAATAATATTTCTGGAAGTTAATGCCCAAATCGAGTTCTTATAAGTTCCTTGTAATTGCTAGAATCGGCCTCATAGAATTGTCTATACAAATTAGAATGGAGTCTCATAAATATACTCTTCAAATGCTTTGATGATGACGCATTGCAATACAAGCAAAAATTAGCAAGTAAGAAAAAAAATACTGTCTAAAAAGCGAAATTAAAAACAAATAGAAAGAACTCAACATATCACAAGTAAATCCCTTCTATTGAATTCATAGTAATCATTAGTGGATAGTATAGAAGATATTTTATAGTAAGTCACCAACATTAGTATATAAGATACCTTCCAATTATGTTGCAAATTGATATATGGTAAAACAATGAAATGAAAGAAGCTAATAGCACCACCACAAAATGAATAGTACATAAGGAAAAAAGAGAAAAGGAATTACACTACACTCTGCTTTTGATTTTTCATTTTCTTCCCATGCCTGAATCAAAGCTAGTTTCTCCTATTTTCTGTCATAATATGAAGCAAGATGTCAAAGGCTTTGGAGTGAATCAAAGTTAGTTAATATAGCATGATATATTATCCCTTAACCTTAAGAAAAAAAATTACCTAAATCAAGGATCAATAGAACATGAAGGCTTTACACACACACGCGTACATATATATATAAATATATATATATATATATATAGAGAGAGAGAGAGAGAGAGAGTTCATACATTTTAAGAAATTGTTTTGAATCTATAGAGAGAGAGAGAGAGAGAGAGAGAGAGAGTTCATACATTTTAAGAAATTGTTTTGAATCTATAATTTTCCATGCTTTGATGATAACATAATGTCTCTGTTTTCCATATATATTATGAATGGGAAAGAAGAAAAAAGAAAGAATCAAATAAACAAAACAAAAGCAACATAAATTAATAAGCCAAACACCCAAAGATTCAAATTCATGTGAACCAAATACTTATCCCAATTGTCTTTGTTAAAAAATAAAATAAAATACAAAAACAAAAAATTCACCTTCTTTACAATGAAAATGAGAATTATAAGTCTTTCAGGTTTCTCATCCCCAGGTATAATTTGGTTATTGTGATAGAGCAGAGAAATCATTTAAGATAATACCCATTAATGAAAAAATACACTAATTACTTTTGAAGCACCTGCACCAAAGTCAACTCTACCATTAATAAAGAAAATTCATGAGTAAAATAATAAAGAAATAGATGGAAAGGAAATGCATTACCTAAACAAGGGATCTATTTTTGCTGAATTTTGACAAGTTACTTTAATCACAACCATCATTTATTACCCTTTGCTTAAACATGTCATTAGCTGGGAAACCATGATTGATTGTCTTTAATTTCTCATGGTAATTTACCTGATAAATTTTCAATATCATTAATCTCTGTTTTTACACAAATGTTTTCCCAAAACTAGTTTACGATTTTTGTTAGTAGTTACTATTATGACACTTCAGGCAATAAAGTGTCGAGAACAAGAGAAAAGAGACTTGCTCACCCGAGAAACAATTATTGGGTGTCATGTAGGGTATTGCTATATGTTACATTACTCGAACATGAATTTTCTTTATATATAATAAGCAATAAATATTTTAAGTTTGCTTGGTTTTATGCTTTTCTCTTGATTAAAGAACACAACTATTCATTTCATCAAGAATAGATTGAAACTGCACAGAATTAGCAGGTGAAAAATGCTCCAAGACTGTAGTGTTGCTACTGGTAATCAAAATGGTAGGGCATTAGCATTAGTAGTATTATATATAACAATCAAATTAGTTGCTAGATGGTAGGCATGTTAAGTTGTAGTACTATAGGTAACAGGGCATTTAACACACACTATTCAACATCATACTCTAGATGACTTGTTAAAATATTAGGACATTACCACCATGGCCTGAGCTATTTCTCCAGTGGAACATTCACAAGTATGCCCTGCATATTTAGGGGGAAAAAACAATCAAAATTGTATTTTGGTGAAATTACGTATAACTATTGACAAAACAAATGGTCTATACAAAATACAAAGACACAAATTAAAGAAAGAAGGAAGATGATGAATGAATGTGAAAATTACTCAAGAAGTATGGAACATACACAATTTATATCAATTTTTACTGTCTCAAAGAATGTGAAGGGCCTACCTTGCGCCCTTAAAAGCTCAAACCATAGAAGAACAATAATTTGAACAAATCAGAGCTTTTCTGGAGTCCAATCCCTAAATTTTTTTTTTTTGTGATTCTACTTCCTTCAATAGAATAAAGAGTCAATAGTTTATAAATATATGTATGTGTACACAGAGAGAGAGAGAGAGAGAGAGAGAGAGGGAGAGAGATGGAGTAATTACCTGATAGAGCAAAGGTGAGTCAGATCTGTGAGAAGAGTGGGAGTTACTGATTTGGGTTGTGGTGATCAAGCCAATGTCGATCGAAGATAGAGAGCGTAGAGAGAAGTCAATTTCATCGAAACCCAAACCTTAGGATTTTCCCCGAACATAAGCACTCGCAAACCCTAGGATTTTTCCCCTTCCTTTTGTGAGTTAGCTCCCAAGTGGAACTCTAATGTTAGGATTCCAATGGCAACGTTCAATGGCCCTTCTTTTTCTTTTTTTTTTTTTTTTTTTTTTTTTTTTTTTTTTTTAAGAATGCCATTAAATTTTATTTGTGCTGGCAACCTTAAATAAATAAAATGTCACTCAATTTTATTTTAATTTTAAAACTTGCAAAAATTTATTTTTACTGACAGCCTTAAACAATAAAATGCCACTCAAACAGTGGAATAGATGCATAGTTAAATGACATTAAAAAAAAAATGTCATTAAATTTATTTGTAATAGCATTTTTATAAAAAAAATAGCAATATATACATATATACACTGAAATGATGCCACTAAATAATGTTTTTGTTGTAGTGTTGTGGCATTTGTTTATTAAAATGTCACTAGAGCCTTTTATGTTTGTTGTTTTGTGATATTTTTTAAAAACGTCACTAAATATTATTTTTATGACATTTTCTAAAAAGATGTCATTGGTATAATATCACTAAAATATATTTTTGTTGTAGTGTTTAAAAGCATGGAAGTTATATATATATATAAGGTAATGCTATATATATTAAAAAACCCTATTGTATTTTACTAAATTGTTCGTATTCATGTTAAACAAGTGGACAAAACCATGGACAAATTTCAAAGGGTCAAACCAGCATAGCAGCTATTGTTGTGTGGCTGATGGACCACATTTGAAGGTTCATTTTAATAATTCGAACTGTTTATTTTTTTATAATATATTGAGTAGAATTTATTTGGAGAGTTGGAGGGGGATTGAGATTGGTAATGAGGTGAGACTTATTAACATTGTATTTGTTTTGAGAGATGGGGAGGGGATTGATAGTGAGCTCCAGATTATGAATCCTCTTTGGGGAGGGGATTCGGATGGACCTTCAAGACTTGGTATTAGAAAAATAGTCCGTCGGATTAGAAATTATTTTTTTATTTTATTTATTACATGTTGGGCTTTTTTTTTGGAATATTAATGTTTAATTTTTTTGTATTTTTTGTTAAGTAAAAATCATTATTTTATTAGTTTTATTTTTTTCTGAAATTTTTTCTTATTTTTTTTACATGTTGGGCATTTTTTTTTAAAACATTAATGTTTAATGTTTTTGTATTTTTTATTTATTTTATTATTTTATATTTATTTTATATAAAAATAATTTAAGAATTTCTACACTAACAACTATCATCAAAACAAACATAATTTTACTTAATCCTCTCATTAACAATCTCTACACTATGAATCTCTTCCATTCTACCTCTGAAAACAAACAGAACCTAAAAATCAAGTTAATAGAACATTGATAGCCTTTTCATTGAATTGTTTTGCATCTAAATAATTGGAAATATAAAACTGTATATAAATGCAAATCAATGAAAAAGTTATTGATATCTAATTAACTTAATTTTTTGCAATCACATTCTTCTCGATGTATCCTAAAAAGTAACTGTTTAAATTATTGAAATGGGTCTCGAAATGAGGCCCATCAGCTGCACAACAGTGGCTGCCGTGAGCCATTCCAATTCCGTTCCATACTTTCATGAGGAAAACAAAAATATATTCGAACATTTTTTGTGAGAAACTAAAATTTAAGTTTGAGATTGTGTTTGAATCATAAATTTGGATAGGAATTTGGAAAGGAAAAAAAAAAAAGGTAAATGAAATGTGAATGAAATCTAACTAAATTTTAAGATTTGAGTAGAGATTTGAAAAAGGAAAGAAAAAAAATGTAAGCGAAATGTAAATAAAATATAATTATATTTTACCTATATTTCATATATATTTTTCTTTTCATTTTTAAATTCCTTCCAAAATTTATAAACCAAATACAACTTAAAAGAATTTTATAGAAATTTTCACTTGTTAAGACGGTTAATAGTGACTTATACTAATCCAGAACAATTCTTTTATTTTATATTATTTTTGTGCGTGTGTGTTTGTTACTTACATTTTGAACACTTTCAGGTAACCCAAAAGCTGGGGCTTTTGTGTTTAAATAGCTAGCAAAACTGTAATTCTTTGGTAAGCTTCATAATAACATGCTATATTTAATAGATTAGTAAACAATTTATAATTGACTAATTTCTTTAAATGAAATCTTTTTGTATATCATCTTTGAAAGAAAGATAGATTTAAAAGTATTCCTCAAACTTAAATTTTCTTGGTAACATTCCTTCAATGAATTTCTACTTTTCTTTCCTAAACAGAAAGGAGGTTATTAAATTATATCCTCACTTTCATGTACTAGAACAAAATTTATCAGTCCTCTCTTATGGAAGATGGGTAAAGGCTGAAAACAGTTACATAATAGAATCCATGCAAGGGGAAAAAGTACACTCTGGAAACTACCGTCGATAAAACACCCAAGCTTTACAATGTTAACATAAATTTCAAAACTTCATGTTTCGGATCATTTATTATGTATATCATCAAGAAAACAAGATTAAATGACATACCTGAATCCATTGATGAACAGTTAAACGGAAGCGTCTGATTGTCAATAAAACCTTAATATTGACTTTGTTAGAGCCTTCTAATCCTTTCCCTTTGGTGCCTTATGTTTCTCCTTGAGAGGATTTAGAAAAACAAAACAGTATTCTTATTTTTTCACCTTGGGAAGGAATAGGGACCATAACCTTTTAAAGGTTGTAATTGGTTTTCATAACTGAAAGGTAATGAAAACCAATAAATTAACCATTATTGGTTTAAAACTGAAAGGTAATGAAAACCAACTTCAACCAATATGTTGTAATTTCTATTTCTGCCCCTCATAGAAATAGAAATTATACAACTAGTATCTACACATTAGGTCCATAACACATATACCCTTAAGCCTATTAACTAAATTGAATCACTTAAATGGTAGGCTTCTTATAAATGACAACTTAGCCCCGACTCTCATCTCAGCCCCGACACCACCACTACCGTTGGCCACCGCCACCGCCGCAGAAGCTATGTCTCTTTGTCACCACCACCGAACCCACTGCCACAACCAGCGATTGTCAATCTCGCGCTCAAATATGTTAGATCTGAACTCTGATCTGTTATGTCTCTCCCTCTCTCTCTCTCTCTCTCTCTCTCTCTCTCTGTGATCTGATCTGTGTACTCAGATCTCTCTTTGGTATTGTTGTTGAAATCAGATTTTTTTTTTTCAGATTAATTTTTTTTTTTTAAAAATTTAAATCTGTGTGATCTGATCTGTGTACACATATTGATTTATTGATGATGATGAAAACATATTGTTGTTAAAAATGGATTTTTCTTTCACATTAATTTTTTTTTTAATTTAAATCTGTGTCTGATCTGTGTACAAATTGATTTGTTGTTCATGACAAAACATAGTGATTATATTGATTTGTTGTTGTGTTGAATAAAATTCAAAAAAAAGTTCGGGGATTTTTCGGGGTCGGGGAAACCCGATCCCCGTTAGGGGACGGGGACGGGGAGTTGATGGGTTCCCCCGCCGGGGATCGGGGGCGGGGACGGGGATTTTTGAGCCTTCGGGGATCGGGGACGGGGAGTGTAGTCCCCGGCCCCGCCCCGGCCCGTTGTCATTCCTAGATATTTAGTTAATTTGTTTCTCAGTTCCATTAATTCAATTCATTAGCTTAGTTATTATTAATCTTTTTTTCAGTTTCAGTAATCTACTTTTATGTTGCCTCTGTTAATATTAATTCAATCCATATTATTTTTATAAAGGTTAAAAATGTCAGATGTTAACTTTGAAGCACCAATTAACTCTGAAGTACCCGTTAACTCTGAAGTACCCGTTAATTCTCAAGTACCATTTGTTTTAATTGTTAACATTTTTTACATTTTATTATTAGTATTAATTATTTATTTTTTTCCTTTTGTTATTTAACAGGAATTCAAGTTGAAGGAGGTGATGAAAGTTGTTGTGTGGTTTGTATGAGAATTGGAGAAACAATGGATTTGATTTTTTATGTGGTTAAATTTAACTTGTGTATGTTTTATGAAATCATCCTGAGTTTGTTATTCTGTTTTACGTATTACTGGTTTACCTCTACAAACTTATATTTTCATGGACCCTATTTATTACCAGAAGCTGAAACACATGGTGAGCCTTAAATACTCTATAGCTTATGTTTTAATTTATGCAATGCGTTTGTAGGCATGATGTATGGGTCTCGTGTCATTCTCCATGTTTGTTTGATAACCCTGTTGAATGCTTTTGGTGTTTAATATGTTGTGTATGAATTCACTGATCTTCATTTTTAGAGCACTACTTCACTTCTTTATGGCAGCAGCAGCTACTTGGGTCAAATAGCTATTTATTGTAACAATTTCTAATAGGCTGCTCTTGATTTTACAGGAAGTTTTACACTTTGATTCTTTAACTCACAATTCATTTTATACCTTTAACTCACAAAGTTTCACGCTTTGATTCTTTCACACTTTGATTCTTTAACTCACATTTTATTATTAGTATTAATTATTTATTTTTTTTCCTTTTGTTATTTAACAGGAATTCAAGTTGAAAATTGGATGATGAAAGTTGTTGTGTGGTTTGTATGAGAATTGGAGAAACAATGGATTTGATTTTTCATGTTGTAATGGAATTTTTTTTTTTTTTTTAAATTTTGGGTAACCTATCCCTTGCGGGTTGTGCTTGGGACTAATTATTCTTTTTGCAACTTGTTGAATTTTCTTGTGTGTGGGCTGCTGGACATCTGTTTTGTTATTTGTGCTATTTTGTTGAACAGGATGCTATTCTCTCTGCTGAACAGATTTATTGAATATTTGACAGATGTTTTGTTTAGGATATATTGACAAATGTTAGAATAGGATGCTAGAATATTTGACAGATGTTTTGTTTAGGATGTTTTGTTTAGGATGTTTTGTTGATGATACTAAATGTTGGCATTATTCCTACAGGTGCATGATATATGTTTAGAATTCTGCTGGACAGTTTCCTTTTTTTTTTGAGAATTGCTGGACAAATTTATTAATATGTATATATTGATGTTTGAATTTGAAATATCATATTTGAAATTTGTTTGAATTAGATGTTTATAGATTTTTTTAATTTGAAAATATGTTACAAATATGTTTGAATTGGATGTTTATAGATTTTTTGTAATTAACAAATATGTTGACAAATATTGTTTACAGATTTTTACAGATTTGAAAATCTGTAAAAAAGATGGGCTAATAGATTTATAGATCTGAAATTGTTTACAGATTTACCTAGGATTGTTTATAGATTTTAACAGATCAAAAAAAAAAATCACCGGGAATTTTTCGGGATCGGGGGCGGGGACGGTGGCGGGCTATGGGTCCCCGTCGGGGATCGGGGGCGGGGACGGGAAATATCTCACATTCGGGGATCGAGGACGGGAAGTGTGGTCCCCAGCCCCGCCCCGCTCCATTGCCATTCCTACTTCTACGGTTGGTAGCCTTATGAGCTTCCACTGAGTTTAGTGAACAAGTGACTCTGAATTGGTGTCTCTATGGGAGACTCTCTCCTAAATTTTTCTTATTAAGACCTTAGTGAGAATGGATCAACTTATGATTTAAGGTTGTCTTGAGATAGTACTGTTGGAAATGGTTATAAAATTCTGGATAAAACCAGAATTTTTTCCTAAGTTCGGTCTATTTTTTAGGTGGGCCCCGAGTGTCGATTTACTCGGGTCAAAGTGGTAACGCGTTCTATGCCGCGTTGTGATTCACGTGGTATATTTGGTTGCTCAAAACCATTACCGAGTGAATGCAAAATTGAAGCCAAAGTGTACTCCATGGAAATGGAGTTTTGGTGGAAATTCCTTAAGGTTGTAAATTGGCTTGTCCCACATTGATTTGGTGGGAAGTTTTGAAAGGGTTTATAAGGCTTAGGGTGAGATACTTGGGGTGTGCCCCAAGGGGTACCAAAGTGTTTTAGAGGGAGAGGTTATGGGCAAAATGTGCTAGACCCATTGGACCCAAAAATCATCACACGCGCGCACGCCGCCGCCGGTCGGGCGGGTGTGGTTGGGTTGGGCTTCTAATCTTTTTGGGCCAAAAACATTTGAATTTAATTTTATTTTTTATTAAAATAAAATCCAGAATTCAAATTAAATTGGTTTGGATTTTTTGTTCATCCAAACAGGGCCCTTCCCGTTTAGTGCACACCCAAACAGGGCACTTCCCGTAATTGCTATCTGTTTGAATTGTTGAATCTGTTTGAATTCAAAACCCAACAGGTATCATACCTGTTCAATTCAAAACCAAGAGCCACCTTTACATCTATAAATAGACTAGCCCCCCATTTGATGTTTTAATTCAGAAATGTTTCGTATTTCACTTCTGTTATTTATATCTTCATCTTGCTGCATTTTATTTCCGAAAGCAAGAGTGGGTAAACACTTAGTGTGTTCGGTAAGGCAAACAATTTGTAGTGCTGCATTGGTTTGTGTAGATCATTTCATCCTGGGAGATAGACATCCAAATTCTGAAAGCACCGTGGAGAGGACGAATCTGTCTTAAGGACACAGTGTTAAACACTGGACTTGATCAGAAAATAATTCAAAGAAATTAAATCAAGTAAGTTATTTAATTTATTTTCAGTGTTGTTTTTATTTATTTAAATCAGATTTTATTTTTGTTTTTGTAACAAAATAAAATCTGTTTTTATTTATTTATTTTTATTTCGAGTTTGATTTTTGTAATCAAACAAATTCTCTCCTTTTCTTTATTTCTTTAAATTCTATTTATTGTTGTGTACACAATAGAATTAAATCTCTTAAATACAATGAAGATTGTCCAACAAGTACTTGTAGTTCTTTGGTTTTATTGTGCTTGTCTAAGTATATTTTGTCCTGACTTTCTAAAAAGAACTCTTTTAATCACGCTTAAAATTATTATTTTGATTGGTTGCCGTTATTTACTCTATTGGATAAATTATAAACACAATCTCGGAGATTTACTTAAATTATAAATTACCTCCTGTGATTTTAGAAATTAATTATGTAATTTAAAGTTTCTAATTTCATAACAAATAGGTCATTTTATTAATAAATCATCATGTTAATTAACAGTTTTTAATAATGTTAAAATTTTATTTCAATTAATAATTCAGATAATTTTATTATTGTATAGGTGAACAGTTAGAAATTTCACTTTTTCAATTAATTTTATTAAATAAAAAATTCTGATATGAAGATATTTACAATTTTTTAAATCACAGAAGGCAATTCATATTTTAAGGAAACATCAGAAGGTGTATTTATAATTTACCCTTTTCTTTTTATTTATTTATTTTTTATCTTTTGAAGAAAAGAAAAAAGGGGTATTTTTTTTAAGGTCCCTGATATTATGATTTTATAGTATAAAGGACATCAAATATTTTCATGATGTCTAAGGTCCCTCAACATCAATCCAGAGAAATTTCAGTCCAGAGAAAATTCAGTGCAGAGAAAATTCAACCAGAGAAAATTCAGTCCAGAGAAAATTCAACCAGAGAAATTTCATCCAGAGAAATTTTTATCACTGTATTAAAATGATCTATTGTTTCCTTGGAAAGAAAATGAGCCAGGCTGCTAATGCTAGAAGCACTCTCCATCCAATATTGTAACTTGTCCAGAGAAAATGTTCGCAAAGCCGCAATTTGGCATAAAAGAGCTGAAATCAACAGTATGAGGCACAGTAAGGAGGACAATCTTGAGCAAAACTCAGAGAAATTCACTGATAAATTCCCAGAGAAAATCACAAAAACTCAGAGAAACTTACTGATAAATTTCCAGGGAAAATCACAAAAATCCAGAGAAATTAAAAAAAAAGATACTAAAAAAACGGACAAACTTAAGAAATATGTTCAGGAGAAATATGTTCAATCCGCCACTAAGCCCATCTCCATCTCTCTCTAGCTGGGTCTCTCTCTCGGCAACTTTTCTTTCCATGCATGACCAACCTTTCTCTTGTTTTTCCATGAATGACAATTTGATGCCCACATAGACAATTGATCACCCTCTCTCTCTTTTGTATACACTGCAACTGCTCTCTCTCTCTCAACCTGATCTCTCTCTCTCTCTTTCAGGGTTCAAGACTGTGCTGGTGGTTGTTGGTGTAAAAAAAGAAAAGAAAAGAAAAGAGATACACACACAGCAACACACAAGCTCCCTCACTCTCTCGGTGATGGTCTCGTCCTCCGCCGACTTCTTCTTGCAGATCATGCAAATGCCGTCTTCGTCGCAGGGGAGGTTACTAGAGTGCGCCATTGAAGAAGGAAAGGCAGGCCGGGTTCCGACGATCATCTCAGCTCTCCATGATCGATCTGTATTTCAGAAACAGAGTGATGATGATTGCGTTTCCGATCACGAACAGTGAACTCTGTGTGTGTGCGTGTTTGATCGTGGTGATGAGTGAGAGTAGAGAAAATGTAGGGGGCTGAATTTCTTTGTGATAGATGGGAGGGACCTCACACATCAAAAAATAATATCGTGGATCTTATCCATTACGAAAAGTGGGGGAGGGACCCTAGACCAATTTTCCCAAGAAAAAATGGTGCACTGGCGCATTCCCTATTTCTGAATCTTTTGGGTTGTTCATACTTGCACCAATGACTTCTCGCAAATATAGCGGTCAATTGATGGGCAATAGTTTGTTTGGTTCCAATTTCTGAATATCAGCTTTTTGGTTCCAATTTTCAGAAAATAAATTTTAATTTTTTTTTTGGTGGTATTTTAATGTTTTTAATGAATTTTTTAATATTTTAAGCATTTTTTTTTAAAATTTTTAGACACACCTAACATAAACACATTTAAAAAGTATAATATTTGTGAATTATTTTGAAAAAAAAAAAACACTAAACACCAAAAAATACACAAAAAAATGAAAATTTAGTATATTTTCGTATTTTTGTGTATTTATTAATTTTTAAAAATATTTCACTATTTAGATACATTTAAGTAAAGTGCATCTAAAAAAGTAAAAAAATTACTTAAAATTTAAAAAAAATATTCACTAAAAACAAAACAAAAACACGAAAAACAAAAAATTCAGTTTTCAAAAAACTGAAACCAAACACATTGATTTGTGGAGCTCATCATAGGTCCTGTTTTGATAATTCGAACCGTTCATTTTTTAAAATTCATTGGACAGAATATTAATGTAAAAAAATCAAGATAATCGGGGATGGATAGTTATATGATTGAATCAAATTTATATTATAAAAAATGAATAGTTATTCTTAAAATTATATTTGTCGTCCACTTTTTAAAAACATATCATTCAAAACACTTAGTTACCGATGTTCAATAATCTTGAATTTGTACATGAATATTTTACTCAATGAGTCTAAAAAAGTGAACGGTTCAGATCATTAAATCAGTTCCAAATTAAGCCTAGCAAGCCCAAACCCTCTGTCAACTTAAGATGACAATTTGATAGAATCCAAACTCTAATGAAAATTAATTTCACATACCTTTCTTTTTTTCTCCAATTCACATCATTAGTCAAATTTTTATTACAGTTTTATCTTAAAAAAACTATCATAAGAAACCAAAAATTTTACTCGCAGAGGGACGACATCATGAATCTTTTTCTTCATAAATGTTTTTGATATATACTTCCTCAAAGATTTTATTATGTTGCCACATACTTTTGACTATGGTATATTTTTTTTCTAATTATATAACGGTTGCTAACTTATGATATTCACATATTCTTCCGA